TTTTTTGCTGTACGCAGGCCTCTCACTGTTGTGGCCTCTCCCGTTGTGGAGCACAGGCTCCGGACGCGCAGGCTCTGCGGCCTTGGCTCACGGGCCCAGCTGCTCCACGGCATGAGGGATCTTCCTGGACCGGGGCACGAACCCGTGTCCCCTGCATCGGCAGGCGGACTCTCAACCACTGCGCCACCAGGGAAGCCTGAGAGCTGATTTCAATTGGATGGTCAACAAGTTTCTGAAAGGGAGTGACATTTAAGCTGAGACCTGAAGGAGCCACGTGTGCTCCCAGGCTTGGGAGCAGCTGGTCCAGAGACCCTCACTCAGGTGTTCAGGAAAAGACCCCAGAGGCCAGCACATGGCTGCAGTGTGATGAGTGGCAGAGCAGTAGAAAAAGACCTAACAAACAGGCGATAGATTCAAAAAGTGATGCAGGGGAACAATACCTAGACGTATAATTCCCTACAAGTGTCCTAGTTCATCAAATATCAGACACCACTGATTATAAGACATCCCCATAATTTATGTACCACTAAGGAAACACCTGCCAAATTATGTGAATCCATCCTGACACCAATGACATGAATATGTGGGGCAAAAAACAGATGCTGTAGATTAGGCGAATTATATATAAATTTAAACTAAATCAAATTAGGGTATAAGATTCACCTGTGATAGAAGCTTAACAGGGGATAAGTATTAACAGTGGGAAAGTACCCCACGGTGTAGGCGGGGGTGACGGCAGTGCCAACAACAGTGTACCTTGTGAGCCTGCACAACGGGTGACAGGTGGCACCACAGAGCGCACACACGGGTGGACAGCTCCAGTGAAGGAGTCCTCATCCTCTCCCAGTGGGAGTGCCCCAATCCCTCCTACCTTGCACTGCACCTCAGAAACGCAGCTCAGAAACGGGCTGGGGCTTCTCCTCCAACAGCTAGGAAGCAGACCCCACCCCTGACAGGGCTGCGACAGTCACAGAGCAAACAGAAGGTCCTGGGTAACATCCAGTGCAGGCTCTGGTTACACCACCAGTCACACCCCTGTCAAGCTGGTAACAGCACACGCTGAGGAAGCAACAGGCACCCACACTAAAAGCAGCCCTGGCAGCGAAAATATTAAACCCATGCAGGCTACACAGGGATGCTCCCACATAAAAATAGCCCTCCAAGACCACAGTAGATAATTGTTTCTCCTAAACTAATAGAGCAAGAGAAATATAAGTAAAATGAAGCAGCACAGGAACCACTCCCAGTGGAAAGATCAAGAGAGCGCCCCTGAAAAAACAATGAAATGGAGTCTAATAGACACCACGTTCAAAACGGAGATAATGAAAATACTGAAGGAATTAAGGCTATTGACAGAAATGCAGATTACTGTAAAAAGGAACTAGAAACTAGAAGGAGGAGCCAAGAAAACTTAGAAACCATTTGCTGAGATGAAAGCTGAGCTCAAGGCAGTGAACAGAAGAATGAATAATGCAGAAGAGCAAATAAGTGATCTGGAAGAGAGAATAATGGAAATCACCCAGCCAGGACAGCAGACAGAAAGCCGAATGAAAGAAAACAAAAAAAAACAATCTAAGAGACTTACGGGATAATATAAAGTGTGCCAATCTATGCGTAATAAGGATTCCAGAAGGAGAAGAGAAAAGGGGATTGAAAATGTATTTGAAGAAATTATGGCTGAAAACTTCCCAAACCTAAAGAAGGAAACATATCCAGATACAGGAAGCACAGAGGGTCCCAAAAAAGATGAACACTACAGACCTACACCAAGACATCATATAATTAAAATGGCAAAAGTTAAAGAGGATTCTGAAGGCAGCAAGAGAAAAAGAGTTAATTACCAGGGAACCCCCATAATGCTATCAGCTGATTTCTCTACAGAAGTGCTGCAGGCCAGGAGGGAGAGGCAAAATATGTTCAAAGAAGTCCTAAGGGAAAAATCCACAACCTAGGAAACTCTACCCAGCAAGATTATTTAGAAGGAGAGAGAAAGAATTTCTCAGACAAGCAAAAACTTAAGAGAATACAGCAATACTAAACCTACTCTAAAGGAAATATTGGAAGGTCTTCTCTAAATATAAAAGAAGCAAGAAGCCATAGGAAAGAGGAAATCACAATTGGAACGTAAACCACTTAAGCCTGTATACAGATTAAAAGGGAAAAAAATCAAAATTCTTATGAAAGCAATGATAAGCACAATGAACAGCAAAAGGATAAACATGAAGATGTAAAGGAGGACATCAAAGTCATAAGATGTGGAGGAGGAGAGTAAGAAAATGTAGATTTTTTCTTCTGTTTTTTAGAATGTGATTGAACCTATATGACTATCATCTAAAGCAGGCAGATACAGGAAGTGGTTAACATACTTGAAAAACAGGGTAACCACAAATCAAAAACATATAATAGATTCACAAACACCAAAAAGAAGAGAACACAAGCATAATATAAAAGGAACACATCAAACCACAAAAGGAGAAAAAAAGGAACAAAGAAGAAACACAGAGTCAACTGGAAAACAAGGCTGAAATGCCAATAAATAAATACATATTTATCAATAATCAGCTTAAATGTCAATGGACTAAATGCTCCAATCAAGAGACAGTGACACACTGGATAATAAAACAAGAGCCTACAATATGCTGTCTACAAGAGACCCACTTTAGGGTAAAGGACAGACACAGACTGAAAGTGAGGGAGTGGAAAAAAGATACCTCCTGCAAACAGAAATGACAAGAAAGCAGGGGGTCACAATACTCATATCAGACAAAACACTAAAACAAAGCCCATAAAGAAAGATAAAGGACACTATAGAATGATAAAAGGAGCAATACAAGAAGAGGATTTTACACTCGTCAACATATATGCACCTAACATAGGAGCACCCAAATACATAAATACTAACAGACATAAAGGGAGAAATTGACAGGAATACAGTAGGAGGAGGAGGCTAACACCACACGTCAATGGACAGATCTTCCAGACAGAGAATCGATAAGGCAACAGAGATCCTAAATGATACAATAGAACAGTCAGACTTAATTGATATTTTCAGGACATTACCTCCCCACAAAAACCAGAATATACATTCTTTTCAAGTGCACATGGAACATTCTCTAGGACTGACCATATACTAGGGCACAAAACAAATCTTGATGAATTTAAGAACAGAGAAATTATTTCAAGCATCTTTTCTGACCACAATGGGATGGAACTACAGATGAACCTCAGAAAAAGAAAAGAGA